CACACACTCACACACACGCACACTCACACACACGCACACTCACACACACGCACACTCACACACACGCACACTCACACACACGCACACTCACACACACGCACACTCACACACACGCACACTCACACACACGCACACTCACACACACGCACACTCACACACACGCACACTCACACACACGCACACACACGCACACACGCACACACACACACACGCACACACGCGCACACACACACACACTCACCTTCTCTCTCTCACACACACACACACACGAGGAGCTGTTCATCAGTTCAGATTCCATTCATCAACCCCACACACACACAAATATTTTGGATTGGCTTTAATTTTTATAAATGATTATGTTTAGTAATTTTGTTGTGCTTTTAATTAGTATTTTTATAAACATTACCTAGGTTTAGGTTGAATATTTACTATTTTGGTAAATTTTTTATTTCAGTTTTAGTTTTTATTTTATTTGCAGGTAGTAATTTTAGTGATTCAACTTAAACTAAATGAAAACGTGAAATGTTGCCAACTAGCCGAAATAATTTAATTAATATGTATATTTCAGCTTTATCTTACTCAACAAGAATGTCTTAATAGTTTTAGTTAACAATAATAACCCTAAAGGACGAACAGCATTTTAGGTCGACTTAAAATAAAAACGACTGTATTTTCCCGAACATAAGTCACGTATTTTGATCATTTAAAACATGCTGCTGCTTATATTCCAAAGTTACCATATAAAGCTCTTAACATTAACAATCACCTTCTCACTCACACATGCACACACACACACGCACACACACACTCACCTTCTCACTCACACATGCACACACACACACACACGCGCATACACACACACACACACACTCGCACACACGCACGCGCACACACACACACACTCACCTTCTCTCTCTCTCACACACACACACACACACACGAGGAGCTGTTCATCAGTTCAGATTCCATTCATCAACTCTTTATAACATTTAATATTTTGGATTGGCTTTAATTTTTATAAATGATTATGTTTAGTAATTTTGTTGTGCTTTTAATTAGTATTTTTATAAACATTACCTAGGTTTAGGTTGAATATTTACTATTTTGGTAAATTTTTTATTTCAGTTTTAGTTTTTATTTTATTTGCAGGTAGTAATTTTAGTGATTCAACTTAAACTAAATGAAAACGTGAAATGTTGCCAACTAGCCGAAATAATTTAATTAATATGTATATTTCAGCTTTATCTTACTCAACAAGAATGTCTTAATAGTTTTAGTTAACAATAATAACCCTAAAGGACGAACAGCATTTTAGGTCGACTTAAAATAAAAACGACTGTATTTTCCCGAACATAAGTCACGTATTTTGATCATTTAAAACATGCTGCTGCTTATATTCCAAAGTTACCATATAAAGCTCTTAACATTAACAAAGCCACACATCTGCACTGATGTCGAACGAGAGCTCAAGTGTATCTGTGTCACGCTGCTGGTTTGCTTTAAATTCATTTATTATACTATAACACTATAATGTGTTTTACACTTATTTCATTCCTGTTCTGAATAGCATTTAATCTGAAGGATTTGTTGTGTCATGAGAGGAACTAAAATACGTTTATTGTGTTCATGATGTTCTATTTACATTATTTCAGACTGTAATAATAAAATTTGGCAAACAGTGATGCAACGCAATCCAGCTGACCCGCTGCAATGCATTTTCCATCAACAAACAGTAACTGTAATGATTTAATGTGAATGTCTTCAGGCACAAACAGACTGCTGATGAACAGCAGCAGTGTTTGTTTCTTTTGGCTGTAGATCGGTCTGAATATTTCATGCTTTTACAGCACAAACACTGCTGGCAGAGGATCATCGGCTCTAACCTTGAGTCCAGGAGCATTTAAAAGACTCCTTACTTCTTGGATTTGTCAGATGGAGCGTCTTTATGCGCTTTCTTCAGCTCTTTTTTGGCCTCTTCAATTTGTTCCTTTTTCTTCTGGATCTGTAACAAGAAGTAGAGAGACAAAAGTGTGACCTCTGACCGCCGGCGGCTCTCTCTCTCTCGTGTGTGTGTGTGTGTGTGTGTGTGTGTGTGTGAGCATTTAAAAGACTCCTTACTTCTTGGATTTGTCAGATGGAGCGTCTTTATGCGCTTTCTTCGCTTCCTTCAGCTCTTTTTTGGCCTCTTCAATTTGTTCCTTTTTCTTCTGGATCTGTAACAAGAAGTAGAGAGACAAAAGTGTGACCTCTGACCGCCGGCGGCTCTCTCTCTCTCGTGTGTGTGTGTGTGTGTGTGTGTGTGTGTGTGTGAGTGAGAG